AGATTACAGAATTTAGAAAAAACTGACCTCAAGAAATTTACTAAGTGATTTAGAAAAATACCTATTATATGTGATGGCCTTGTTTTAACAAACTGGAATGAAATATTTCACAGAAGTGTTTTCTGAAGCACTAGAATATCTTTTCTGGTTCCAAATGGGTTTCATACTTACCCGAGTTTACTGCCTCAAATCGCTTAACATCCTAAAGCATAACAGGTAAATGTTCTCTTCTGTGAATCTTTCTGACTGCCTATAAAGAAGTATTTCTTTTGCTTCACCCTCATGTTGGGAACATATAACTTTTATATTACTACCGTTAATTTTATATGTAAAAAATATTTCAAAACTGTCCCCGTCTTTCTGTACCGGCTGCTACCATAGTACTCCAAGCTATCCTCATTGCTCTCTTGGAATACTGTCATTGTCTCCTAATTGATCCCTCCTATTTTTGTCTTTCTTCTCAGATGACCTTGAGTAAACTTATAAAAACAGAAATCAAATTGTGTCACTCCCCCTGCCCCGTCCCTCTGCCTCCCACGCCATCTCATTATCCTGCTTACACTCTTCCAATAGCATTGGTTTCCTTCATTACTTCATTTACAATGGTAGATCCCCCTCAGTTTTGCTTAATACCATTTATCAGAATTCGTAATCATATATTAAATTGGATATTTACTTGTTTGTTTTTTCCACTAGCCTGTGAACTCCATGAGTGAAGGGATTGTGTCTTTTTTAAAAAGCAATTTATACCTGCGTTGTCCTAGCATTTAGTATGTGCACATCAAAGGTTTTCCTTTCTAATGAATGAGTTTGATTCTATACATCACAAAATAGCCACTTGCATAACCTTTACNAAATTGGAGAGGACATGCAGAGGACTATTCTGCTTCATGTCCTCAAGAAATAAAATCCCATCCCCCCTACATCTCTCTATAAAAGCAATTATATTTAAAAATTTATTATTCAATATTTTCCTGCAGATGAATATACAGTCATGTACCACCTAATGCCATTTTGGTCAACAATGGAACGCCTCTATATCGTGGTCCCCTAAGATTATAATGGAGCTGAGAAGTTCTTCTATCCTATTGACATCATAGCTGTGTGCTGATGTCATAATGCAAGACATCACTCACATGTTTGTGGTGACACTGGTGTAAACAAACCTACTGCACTGCCAGTCATATAAAAGTATAGTGCATACAATTATGTACAGTATGTAATACTTGATAATGATGATCAACGACATTGTTACTCATTTATTTGCTATACTTTTTATCATAATTTTAGAGTGTATTCTTTCTACTTATTAAAAAAAAACATTACAACAGTATGCCATGTTACGCCAGCAGAAGCCTCATACATATCATGTTACTGCACCACTGGATTGCATCATTCTCTCTTAGACTGGATTTAATCTTGTGTTGTTTTGTTTATCATGGCCCCTTAAATGTACAAAATCCACTGCTGCTGTTGCCGGTAAGAGGCCACATCGAGTGATTGACCTGGAAACGAAATTAAAAGTGACTAAGGATTCTGAAGGTGGGAAATCAGGGATGTCCCAGGCAGGCAGGTCCCATCCCACCATAGTTACGATCTTAATAAGAACAACGTGGTGGAAGCTGTTAAAGGATCTGCTTCATCGAAGCAACGAGACTAACAGAAATTTGGGGAGGCCGAATATCAGACGTGGAGAAACTTCTAGTGACCTGGAGTGAAGACCAGACACAGAAGCGTATCCCTCTGGGCACCATGAAGATCACGGCCAAAGCAAAAAATTAGTTTGTGATGTTGAAAGAAAAGGCTGGTCCCCCGCTATGATGTTGAATTTACTGCTAGCCCTGGGTGGTTGAAACAATTCAAGAATTGTTATTCATTATATAATGTGAATGTGAGTGGTGAGTCTGCAAGTGCTGATGTGAAGGCAGGTGAAGAATTTTGGAAACTCTAGAGGAGCTGATTATGGAGGAAAATGAGTTGCCAGAGGAAATATTCAATATGGATGAAACCTCCCTATTCTGGAAACAGATGCCTGAAAGGACTTTCATCCATAAGGAGGCCAGGTCATGCCAGGTTTCAAGGCTTCTAAGGACAGGATAACAGTCTTGCTTGGGGGCAACACTGCAGGTGACAAATGGCAACCTTTTGTGACCTGGCTCCGTG